CCTCTCCAATATCAATAATATTGGTGGATACATAATTTAAAAATCAATGTGTATTCAGAAGAGTCAGGGGCCTTCTGCTGAACTGAGGAGGCAGCAGGTATGTGGCCTGGACTAGCCGGGGAGCACAGCGTAGAAGAAAGCCCTGAGCAGGTTCTACTCCAGGTGCTGCACGGACCAGCTGTGGCCTCCGCTGCACCAGGAACAAACGCAAATCCCTGACCTGCCCGGTGCCCTAGTGTGGCCTGGCACTACTTCCTCCCCCCTCCCCGCCCCCTTCACAGGCTGTGGCCCAGCCCTGGCGCTGAGCACTCCCAGCATCTGCTCCTCTGCGGGGACATCTCCCTGAGCTCATCAGCCAGCTTGCTGCTCCTCACCACTGTCCAGCGTCACCGTCTCAGTGGGGACCACCCCACCTAAAACAGTGTCCTGAGCCGCAGATTTCTGCGTTGCGGTCACTGTGGGTTCAGTCTCTGCTTATCACTCTTCACTGTTTAAATTGTAAAATGGCCTAGTTGGTTCTTATTTGCTACGTTTCCCCCAGAAGAAAGGAGAGTTCCACAGAGGAAGGCCAAGGTTCTCAACGTGAGGTCCTAAGCCAGCAGCACAGCCTCCCCGGGGAGATTGTGGGAGGGGAGACGTCCCCGATCCCATCCCGCACCGGCTGTGTCGGAGCCCGGGAGCCGGGAGCCTGCTCTGGGCCCAGCCTGGGGTGGTTCCTCCAAGCACAGCCCCGAGCCGCCTGCCTCCCCACAGCCACCAGGGCGGGGTTTGTATCAGTTCAGTGCGGAGTCTTAACATTCACACTGAGAGCTCCTGGTGTGTGATGCTGCTCCTGCCTGAGTGGTTAGAGAACAAGACAACATACAATGTCTTCTGGTCAGAACGTCCTGAAGAACAGGTGTGTGTAGCAGCGGCATGTGCTCTGGGCGTTTAGGAGGGAGACCGGCAAGGACAGGCGCTGACGGGGTGACGGGGAGGTAAGCTGGGACCTTGGTGGTGAGACAGAAGTGTGGGCCTGAAGGAACCGCACAGCTGTTTTATTGTGTTCTTAGCACTCAACCTTGTCAGAGACTAAGTTAGCTTTTTATTCTATTCACCATCTGCCTTCTCCCCTTAGACGCAGGACTTTTTGATCTGGTCTGCTCTTCCTTCTCCTGTAGGGTTCATAGCCACTGGGGATCTCTACTAAGTTTATCGGGCACAATGAAAATATTTAAAATATCTTACATTTTAATAGCATTTTACTATTTTTTCTCAAAGTGCTTTGACCAACTCCCACTATTTGTTTTAACAATCCTATCAGGCCTGCCTGTCAGGTCTTTAGACTCCCGGTTTTATAAATTGGGAGGATAGAGCACAGAGAGGTCAGGTCATTTGCCTTAGATCACACAGCTGGTGAGTGGTGGCAGTAAGAACAGAGGCTGGGTGTCTGTTCTCAACTCTCCCTGATCTTTGGAGCCTACCAGTGGCTTGTGGGACAGATTGGAATCTGAAGGCACAGGCCGCTGGGTGTGGCCTTAGCTTGCCGGGGTCAGAACCAGGTGTCTCTGCCAAGGGCACAGGCAGTCAGACCCGCCATAGTCCTCACCTGGGCAGCGTGGTCCTCACCTGGGCAGCGTCTCTCTGGGACTAAGTCCACAGGGACTGTCCAGGCAGGGGTCACTCTGCAGGGGGGACATTTAGATGTTTGCCAGCTCCCCCAATTCCTCAGTCACCTCAAGGAGTGCTGTCTGGGTCCTTTTCAATTTGGGGAAATAATTAACTCCTTGGCTTCCAACCCTGCCTATACACAATTTCATTTCCTCAAATAATTTGATCCTCCTGAACACATGAGTAATGCGGCAAGATTGGACTCCTCCAAAGAGACTCGGCGTTCGGTCCACTGAAGGCGGTGCTGGGAGCGGACCGCAGCCCTTACGGATATGAACCGAGCGCAGTGTCCTGTCTTGTGGTCACACCCACGCCTGTGAGCCCCGGCGGCCAGCTCCGAGCTTTCACTGGGACTGAGCGCCAAGCCCCAATGTCTGATCCAGCTGGTTCTGCCCGGGTTCCCGCTCAGAGGCTGGCCAAGAGAGGATGGTGCAAGATATGGTTTTTATTTAGTGCCTCTCCCCATGCTCGATTTGAACACAGTGACGTGGGTATGGAGGGGTTTTCTGATGTCCTGATGATCGGTATTTCATCGTACATATGCAGATGTGTATGGCACATCTGTGCCAGGGACCTTCAGCATTCCCATAGTGCTAGCCAGTGTGAGTTGCATGTGGCCAGGTTCTCATTACAGAGGGGAAGGAGGAAGTGATAGAAAAACTCAAAGAAGAAAAAATACAGAGTGTGGGAGTCTGTGGCTGTGTACGCATGTGTGTATGCATGCATGTGAGTGTGCATGTGTGTAAGTCTGTGCACGTGCGTGCACACATGTGTGTGAGTATGCATGTGAGTGTTCGAGCATATGAATGCATGGGCCTGCATGTGGAGCACACGTGTATGCATGTGTAACTGAATGTGTGTATTGTACGTGTATGTGTGCATGTATATGCACATGTGTGACTGTGTGCATGTGTGTGGCTATGTATGTGAGAGTGTGTGCATGAGCATGAACACAAGTGTGAAAATGCATATATGTACACATATATGAGTATGTGCATGTGTGTACAGGTGTGCATGCACGTGGATGTGTGTGTGCTTCCATGTGTATGCATTTAATGTGTGACTGTGTGCGTGTGTGTGTGTGTGTGTGTGTGTGTGCATAAAGCCCATTTGCACGTGGAAAGGCCCGGGTCTGATACAGATCCACAGTAATTGCACCATCACTGTCCTGATTCCTATAAACCTCCAGAGCACAAGGTTCCCCTTCCTGGGCAGCAGCCAAGCTGGGGAGAGGGGCGTCCAGGCCGTGGCGGGTGGCCAGCACTCCCGAGTGGAGCCCAGCTCCCCTGGGGCCCGGGGATGGCTGAGCTGGCATGCCCTGGTTCTGACCCAGCACCCTCCCCCAGCCTGGCACGGGATCCCCATCCAAAGTGGTCCTGGCTAAACAAAGGTGTCTTTCTTAGGACGCTACCTCGGGCTGGCTGAGTGCAGCCTGGCCTCTGTGTGCTGTGGCCGGTGTGCCGGGGTGAGACCTCCCTCAGAGGGGCTGGCAGTGGGGGAGGGGTGCTCAGGAGGGAGGGGACTAGTGGGGGACCTGGGTTTAAAGTAAGCTCTGTCTCTTTGGGACTGAAAGAGCGGCTCTTCCAGGAGGCACTCAGGTGCACGATCAGGCCCTGAACACCTGCCCCGTGAGCCCTCTGTCTTCACCCTGTAATAACTGGCCGCCCAGCCGGCAGCTCCTGATAATCGGATCTCCATGGCAGTCAGAAGGGCGGGGGAGGGGAGACAGCGCTCCCCGCTGTGTGCCTTTGGGCCAGAGGTCACCCCTCCCCTGGCCTCAGTTTACTCTTCTGTGAAAAAAGGCTAATGCCCATTTCCTGCCGCATCCTGCCACAGTGAAACAAGGCGCTGTGAAGGCTGCGTGTCTGATCCAGGCCACATGGGCGTTTCCGTATCGCCTCACAGTGAACAAGGGCTCCCGCCCTGAAGGCGCTCTCCTGACACACAGCACCCCTCTCCTGTGACGTGGGTTCTGTCAGTCATTTCTAATCACAGTGACACCTGCACCGTGTCCTTCCCCAACGCCCTCTCGTGGGCCATGGTTCAGGTGCGGGGTCACTTTCCTCTAGTTGCTGGGACTCTGAGAGCAGGGGCAGGGTGGCACCGTCCCTCTGTCCCAAGGAGTCCTTGTGCCGTGACCACATGTGAGCCCGCTGCTGGCTGACTGAGCAAATGACAGAGGAAGCCAGTCCCGGGGCGGACTCGGCTGCTCTGGGTCCTTCCCCACGATTCCTCACGGGGGAACTGCCCTTCTCAGGACCCTTGCTGGCCGCCTGCGGGATTTTACCTGCTGCCTCGTCCACCTGGAGCACAGCTGTACCTGGGAGCTGGGGCCCCGCCTCCACTTCCCTGCCTCCTGTCCTGGCAAATTCTCCCGTGCTTCCCCCCCACCCCCCCGTTCTCCTCCACAATCCTGGTCTCCCCACCACTCCTCCAGGCTCACCTGAGGCCCCACCCCGCCTCTGTCACGTGTGACACAGGCTGTGGGGAGAACACAGCAGCCTCCAGCACTGACTCCTCCGTGCCCAATGCCCAGTGCTTGCTGCCCAATGCCGGCCTGGCAGGGTGGGCCAGGAGGTCAGGAGGCCTGGAGCAGGGCCTGGTGGCACACAGTGGCCCATAGCGGTGCTCACTCGTGTCTGCGGCTGCCTTCGCAAGGTGACAGCGGAGTTGCAGCTGCAGTGGAGACCGTGGACCTGCGGAGGAAAACGTGGCTCTGGCTGCTTACAGAGGAGGCCGCACACCCCTTCTAAAGTGTCACATGATTTCTGGAGGGCCAGGGGGCTGCAGAGAGCGGAGAGGGGTGGCGAGAGGAGGCCATAGAGGGAGAAATGTCCCCCAAAACAACAGCAGTGGCAGAGCACCAACCCGAGCTTCGTCCTCTCTCCATCCCCCTCCCCGCCGCCCTCCTACTGCCCCTCCCAGCCTTCCTCTTCCCGCCTCTCCATCCTGAGAACATGCTGGGCCTGCGGGTGGTCTGCAGGTCCTGGGGCCCTCGCTCCAGGTCTGGATGGAGCAGTGCCAGCTACACAGCAGTGCCAGCAGACTGGCATTTATTTTACGCCAAGCAGCATTCTGCGGGCCTTACCTGTCAGCCCCCTGAATCCTCTCACACCCGGGTTTGCAGTGAGGGGACGGAGTTGTAGAGCACTAAGCCACTCCCCACCCCGGGAGGTCCCGGCGAGGACACACTCGGGAGAACCACCTCGCTGAGGGCGCCTCTCAGCCCTGCCTGGGCCGCACCAGCGCTGCGCTCCCGTGTAAGCCTCGGAGGCGTGGCCGAGCACCTCTTAGGGAATCGCGCTGCCCCAGGCAGTGGCTGCGAAGGAGCCCCCTTTCTCCCTTTTCAGGCAAAAGTGACGACGAAGACAGTCTCTGCAAGGCCGCCCACGGGGCAGGGAAAGGAGCGGCCGAGGACGGCAAGGACCACAAGCGCCCCAAACGGCCCCGAACCATCCTGACCACCCAGCAGAGGAGGGCGTTCAAGGCCTCGTTTGAGGTGTCGTCCAAGCCGTGCAGAAAGGTACGGGAGGGAAGAGGGGGGACGGGCCCGGCCCACTTCTGCGTGGTCACCCCACTCCTCTGGCGTGGTCACGGGCACCTGGGGTCAGGGCGGCGGGAGGCTGCTCGGTCTGTGCAGTGGCCTGGAGCGGCATGGGGGACCCTGGGGTCTGAGGCTGTGGCCAGAACCGCCCGAGCTTTCCTGTGAGCGTGCCCACTCCACTGGCTGCTCACACCCGTCACTCCGCTGGCCAATGGGAATAGCACAGGTGCCACTTGGGGTGACCACGGTGCTGGGACTGAGAGCCACACTGCAGGCTGGTGGTCTGCTCTAGTTTTGTTCCCGTTTGCACCTCTTGGGGAGGTGACTTGGGGACTCGTCTGTGTGTCATTCCTTGGCTTTGGCTGTTGAATGGCATCCTGCCATCCGAATGGGCCATCGTTCGTTTGTTCACTCACTTGTTATGGATCAGGCTGCTGTGAATTTTCATGAAAAACAGAAAACAGAATGCAGCAGAAGTTGGATGAGGGAGACACTTACTTCTCTCAGGCGTCACGGTCTGACGGTGACAGTCCTAGGCTACTGGGCCGCCCTGCTGGCCATCGCGTGGCCGGGGCTAGTTGGTTCTTACCATTGCTTGCAGCCACCGTGATGGAGAAAGAGGAAGTGGAGGGCAGGCAGCTGCGTCTTTAAGGGCAAGCCCAGGATTCTTTACGTCACTTTCATAAATATGTGTTTGGCCAAAATGTGATCCTGGGAAGGCCTCCTGCAGGGAGGCTGGATGAGTCTGCCCGGCCCACCACGTGCTGGCTGAAGCTGGGGATCCGGGTGCTGATAGGAGGCAGAGGGTGGGTGTTGGGGACACTGGTCTCTGCCACGGAGCGCTGGCCTGTTCATTGAGCAGCTGCCGTTTGTGGCTGCCTGTCACATGCTGGTCCCTGTCACGTATGTGATACAGATAAGAAAGCCCTCATTGAATTTCATGGAGGAAACACATGAACACTTTAGCATTGTTTTTCCTGCATCTGTATCTGTGTCAGTCATGGTTTGCTGCCGTAACAAACACTACCTCCATGGTTTCCAGCCCTCAGTGGTTTCCTGCCCCTGGGGTGACAGTCCTAGGCTGCTGGGCCGCCCTGCTGACCATCGCGTGGCCGGGGCTAAGGTTCCCGTCATCACCAGCCTCTCCTTCGAGGGTTGGGCTGATTGAGAGCGGCACCTGATGCTGTTCTCGCGAAGATGGCAGAAGGCCAGAGGCTATGTCATCCAGCAAGCCCAGGGAAGCCCTCCTGGGTTTCACTCCCACGCACCCACTTTCCACGCCACGACCAGCCTTGGCCAGCCCCAATGAGCTGGCGTGCGGGGAAGCCGGGGAGGAGCAACACTGGAGAGATTGGAGCTATTCACGGCAGAGTGCTCGGCGCTTCTCTGGGCTCTGGGAGGTCCTGGGAAAAGTGAAGTGGCCTGCAGTTAGCTCGCCGAGGACAAATGACCACCCTCGTGGTGCTTGTGTGTGTGCACTGAACGCGCACCCCTGCGGGCCTGTGCCCAGCAGGTCCCGGCAGCCTCCAGCCCCGGCAGCAGACACGTGTGCACATGACTGCACCTGAGAGAGGCCGCGTGGCCAGGGCCTGCAGAACAGGCAGCTCGGGCTGGGCCTCTGAAGGGCGGAAAGGGTGAAGGCCGGCCCCTGGGCACAGCTGTGTGCAGAAGGCTGTGCTGTGCACTGGTCTGACCCCCCACTGTAGCTGTGGAGCCGATGAGGGGAGTCCTGCCCAAGGATGTGCTCACTCAGGGAGCTCCTCCCGAATCCGACCAGCAGGGCCATGCTGCTCCAGTCCCTCAGTGTGCGTCTACACGAGGGCAGATATTTAAAGGCAGCTCTTCATTGTGGGGGTCCCCATGGCCCCACTCTGCACAGCTCCAGAGTGTGTGCCTGCCCAGGGCGTCTGCTCTGCCCGAATCCGAAAGGCCGTCGCAGTCTTTTTGGGCCAGGCTCTCGTAGGGTTATTGAGCATGAGTGTTCATGAAACATCTGGTCACCCAGAGCTTGGGGACAGAACCGAACACTCAGGTCATGAATTAGGACAGAGAAGAGGGCAAGTGAGAACCACTGTGTTTTGCTTAATGGCCTTCACTCTGGGTTCTCCTTGAGAGGGTCAGTGCGCACACGTGGTGGTCGGCTAGGCACAGGCTTTGCGAAGCTCGAGAGCCATCTGAAAGTCTGATTTCCAGAGTCGGGGACGCCCCAAAGACCTCTTGTTCACTTCTAAGTGGACACTCACTCCTCCCCGTGCGCCTGGGAGACCCTCTCTGTTCCCAGGCTTCCATCTGGCTGCACGTCGGGCAGTGCCGTGCTGGTACCAGACCCCTCAGGCCTCCCGCACTCTGCACGGAGTTCCCACCTTTCCTTCATGTGTCTAACGCTTTGTTTTTCCAGGTGAGGGAGACGCTGGCTGCAGAGACCGGGCTGAGCGTCCGTGTGGTCCAGGTGTGGTTCCAGAACCAGCGAGCCAAGGTAGCCGGCGCCTCAGCCTGCCTGTTGGGGGCGGGCCCCTGGGACGGGAGAGGGGGCCGTGTCCTGGCCGACAGCTCACTCATGGAGCGTTCCCTCGACTTGGAGGTTCTGCTCTCAACAGTCATCTGAGGCCCAGCCGCGCGGCTGCGGAGTGGTGGGCGTTTGTCCTGGTGAAATGGCCTCTGTTTTCCTCGTGGCCATGACTGTGGGCCTGGCCTGCGTGGGCGTGAACAAGTGTCTTCCTGTGCCTTTTGGGAAAAGCAGGTTTTTTAAGTAACTTTAGTTTTACCCAGAACCAAAGTTTTTTTCAAATGTCAGAGAGAAACCTACAGGCACACGTATGACTGTTCTATCTCGACATGATGGCCCATGGACGCCTCCCGCCTCACCCAGAGCAACAGCCTCCCCACTCCAGTCCCCCCCCCGCCCCAACCAGTGCAGGCCAGTCTTCATAGTACCATCTCCATTCCCCCGGGCAGGCCTTTACTGAAATGTTTTTATTGATTTGAGAGAGAGAGGAGGAAGGGAGGATAGAGATAGAAACATCATCAACCAGCCACCTTTTATCTCCCCCTCCCTCTCCCCTCAAATCAGGCCTGCAACCCTGGCATGTGCCCTGACCAGGAATCGAACCAGTGGATCTCAATCACTGAGCTACACTGGCAGGGCACAGTCTTTTACTTTAGACCTTAATTCACGCGTCCGGTGGCCCATTGCTTGAGAGCGCTGAGCATCAGCGGGCGACGAATTACAGCTCTATTTACATAACGGCTTAAGGAGCGTGTGCCTCCCTGAGTTTCTCAGAACACGCCGTTATTGTGCCTTCCGTGCCCTTCCCGTGGGAGGGTTTCGGGGCTAAAGGGTGTGAAGGGCCGGCAGCCTGCGGAGTCACATGGCACGGACTCTGCGGAGCTCTGGGGAGTCTTGTAGAAGAGAATTATTTTGTAACCTAGTGTCTCCACGCACACACTCCAGTGGATGTTGGTATCTCATGGGACCCTCGCCGTGCACGGAAAATAGTTGGAGAAGCACCGGGTCACAGTGTTCCTTCAGGAAGTGTGTGCCCTCATGGTCTTGGGGGTGAGCTCCTTACCTGGAGGCTGACCCTCCCAGTGGGTCCGCAGACCCGAGGGCCAGCAGGCAGGGGAGTGATGCGGACAGCCTCCAGTTCACCCCAGCTCACACCCCGGGGGCAGCCCCTGCCAGCCTGCAGGCCCCTCCCGCACGCAGACCTCACGTAAAACTCTCAACATCAGCAGCAAGTTTTGTTTGTGGCGAGGGACTCGCTGCTCCTGCTGAGACACCATGGCTGCCGGGCGCTGCCATTCCACATGGCAAAGCACCGGCACCTAACTCCAGCACTGCGTGCGATCACCTCTGGGGGCCTGTTCCTGCCCTTCACGCGGCCGTCCCCGAGGCCTGAGCCCCTGCCAGCCCCCGCCGTCTAACCCTGGGTTCTCTCCGCCTCAGATGAAGAAGCTGGCCCGGCGGCAGCAGCAGCAGCAGGACCAGCAGAACACGCAGCGGCTGAGCTCGGGTAAGGGCCCTAACGCCGTCCTTGCCAGGCCGACTCCCCTGCCACAGCCTCCAGCTGCCCAGCTTCCTGGATGGCCCCCGTGGGCTCCCAGACGCCCTGGCCTCGCCGTGTGGGTGGAGCCTGGCATGGGAACTGAGCCCGAGGAGCTGTGACTTGTTGGCACCACTGCAGCCTGGATCCGCCTGCGGGAGGGGGCCCTGGGCTTGCCCGAGCACCTGCCCTGGACCTGCCCAGTGTCGGGACGGTGAGGATGGCCTGCAGCACCTCGTCCTGCCTAGTCCTCCGTCCTCGGGCAGATCAGCCCATGTAGCACGGTTGTGACTCTGCCTTTGCCAAAATTACGTAAAATGGGGCGATGATGACAGTAAACGAGTAATTGCTTACTTTACGGAGCAAGTTTCTAGTTCACAGCCTGGCTCCCGCCTGCTGGCCTGACGCTGACAGCAGCCACCCCGAGGCCAGCGGTGACGGTACTAAAGGGTCCATGAGGCTGACCGAGGCCCCACAGGAGGAAGGGGCCCATCGGGAACCCAGACCCCTCTCTCTGATTCAGAGTTCCTGCATGAACCTCGTTTCTTTAAACTGTATTTTGAGTTGATTTCAGAGAGGAAGGGAGAGGGAGAGAGAGATGGAAACATCAATGATGAGAGAGAATCATTGATTGGCTGCCTTCTGCATGCCCCCCACTGGGAATTGAGCCCGCAACCCAGGCATGTGCTCAAAGCGGGAATCAAACCCTGGCCTCCTGGTTCGTAGGTCAATGCTCAGCCAGGGAGCCACATGGCCGGGCTGAACCTCATTTTTAAACGAGGACTGGGGAGGGAGTGGAGGACAGTGTGGGAGTCTTCAAGGAAGCTCAAAACACTCAATCAAGAGTGACGGTTTTAGAAAAACGTCTGTTGAAGCGATATGGCCCCACTCAGCCGTCCGTTCCGCAGACCCCCCAATGGTCTGCCTGCTCCTAAGACAGGTTCTCATATGCCCATCACCCACACGTGGGCCACCTGCACCTGGTACAGCATAGACTCTGGCTGTAAGATCAGGGCGGGGCCTGGGAACCTGCATGTCTCACAAGCTCCCGCAGCTGCTGGTCTGCGGCCACACTCGGAAGGCGTGGGGCGTGGTTCCGGTTCTCAGGCCCCAAGCAGTGCTCCATGTCCCTGGTGGACCCGGCCTTGCCTTGTCACTGGGCTCAGCCAGGACGCCATTGGCGGCCCAGAGTTCCCCAGCGTCTCACGCGGCTCTCAGGAGGTCAGGAAACCAGCAGGTGCCGGGAGGTGGAGCACACGCGACGCCCACGCAGCTCCACGCCTGCTGCTGGCGCCGGCACAGCCCGCCTCCCCATGCCCAGGCCTGGGGGGTGGGGAACAGGGCGAGTAATGAGGCCTGAGGGCCCTCGTGCTCAGGATCCCGGGAAGGTCAGAGAGTTTCCGACGTGAGGGCCTTCAGGGGCCCGGCAGGTGGACTCCACATGGACCGCCAGGCCCAGGGGAGGAGAACGGAAGCTCCTGTGCTGACTGGGGGCTGTCTAGGCAGCACTCGGGGCCCTGAGGCAGGTTCTGCGAGCTCCCGGGCCATGTCCGGGACCCACAGCGGGCATACAGGTGCCGGGGGCTGTGTCGTCCTGTCTCACAGGGCTCTGAGCTCAGGCGGCAGCTTGCCATCCCAAAGCACATGCACGTGGTCTCACAGGACCTTCATATCAGCCCGGCCAGGTCGCCGGCCAGTGTCATGACCCCGCCTGATTTTGGGGGCTCCTGTGGGTGATGCTGAAAGGGTCTTTAGAGGTGCCCCTTCCAGGGCTGTGCACCTGAGTGGACCCTCATACACCTTTGCTTCTTTTCTTTTTAAAAAAAATATATATTTTATTGATTTTTTACAGAGAGAAAGAGAGAGGGATAGAGAGTTAGAAACATTGATGAGAGAGAAACATCGACCAGCTGCCTCCTGCACACCCCCCCCCCCCCCACTGGGGATGTGCCCACAACCAAGGTACATGCCCTTGACCGGAATCAAACCCGGGACCTTTCAGTCCGCAGGCCGACTCTCTATCCACTGAGCCAAACCGGTTTCGGCAGATGCCTTTGTTTCAATGGCGTGGTTCAGGACCTCTCATAAGGCGCAGGCTGGGACCCGCCAATCAGTTCACGTCTGTCCCCTCCGTGAATGGGAAACCCTGACCCAGCCAGTAAGAAGTGACTTAGCTGTGGCCACACCGTCCTTTGATGAGATGCTCTTCCCCTGGTGGCCACAGCCTGCAGTCCCCTTAGTCACTCAGTAGGCTGACTTGGGTGTGACCCCCGAGGGTAGGTCTTACAGGATGTGGCAGTGTCTGCTCTGCTCTCTGAAGTCACCAGCTCTGGGGAAGCTGGCTGCCGTGTTGTAAGGTCACTTACACAGCCCTGCGTGGTCCACGGGGTCAGGCTACGGGGGCGCCCAGGGCAGCCCAGACCCCCTGCGCTGCCCCCGCCTGCCCTCCACTCTCCTCTCTGTATGGAGCCACAGCAAAGGCCAGTGCCCGGCGGGGCCCTGGGATGAGGGCTGTGATGCTTGGAAGATGCTCTGTGTCCCCCTGCCCGGTGGGAGGCGCGGGCTGCAAGGGAGGTGACCTGGCCTCTTTGTCCCACAGCTCAGACCAACGGCGGCGGGAGCACCGGGCTGGAAGGCATCATGAGCCCTTACACGGCCCTGCCCACCCCGCAGCAGCTGCTGGCCATGGAGCAGGGCGTGTACAGCGCAGACCCCTTCCGGCAGGGCCTCACCCCGCCCCAGATGCCTGGAGACCACATGCATCCCTATGGTAAGAGGCCTCAGCGGGCGTGTGTGTGTGTGTGTGTGGGGGAGGGGGGGCATGCTGCTGCCTCAGCCCACCCCTCAGGAAGTGAGGAAACAGGACTTTCCTGCGCTCATAGGTGCACGTGGTCCCGCCTATAGGATGACCCTCCACAATGCTCACCTTTGGTTTAATGGTATTTGTCAAGGAAGCATTCAGTTCTGCTCCAGCCCCACCCTCCGAGGTGGCCCCTGGCCGCCACTCCACAGGGACCAGCACAGCTTGCTTGCGTGCATTTCTTTTCTGCCCAAACACATCTGCCCGTTCCCAGCTGTTTCCTGAAGCTGCATGCCCCACGAGGCCCCGGAAGTCCTGCTGGGTCCCCACGCAGGGGCCAGAGCACCCAGCAGGCAAGTCACCAGCGCTGTCTCCATTCACTCCCCTCAGCGCCGCTGAGTTCTCGGTTTTAAGCAGGAGGTTGTGCTTCCCGCCTGCGTGGCTGAACTTCCCGTCCTTCCCCCCGAGAGGGGCCGGCGCGTCTGTCAGCCCTGTCAGCATGAGCTAGGCCAGTGGTCGGCAAGCTCGTTAGCCCACAGAGCCACATATCAACAGTACAACGATTGACATTTCTTTTGAGAGCCAAGTTTTTAAAACTTCTTTTTTTTAAAAAAATATATATTTTATTGATTTTTTTACAGAGAGGAAGGGAGAAGGATAGAAAGCTAAAAACATCGATGAGAGAGAAACATCCACCAGCTGCCTCTTGCACACACCCCCACTGGGGATGTGCCTGCAACCAAGGTACATGCCCTTGACTGGAATCGAACCTGGGACCTTTCAGTCTGCAGACCAATGCTCTACCACTGAGCCAAACCAGTATCGGCTAAACTTAAACTTCTAACGCCACTTCTTCAAAATAGACTCGTCCAGGCCTTGGTATTTTGTGGAAGAGCCACACTCAAGGGGCCAAAGAGCCGCAGTTTGCAGACCACGGATCTAGGCAAGAGGCCCAAGGACAGCGAACTTTCACGGGAAGGAAATCGATAAAAGCAGAGAAAACGCTGTTCTCATTGGACAACATGGACGCCTGCTCGGTTCTCCTGGAATTCTGAAGCAGAAGCTGACCTGAGAGGTCAAAAGAACCCCAAGTCCCACGCCCACCCTCCAGCACGGGGGTCTAAATCCTGCTGTGTGGAGAGCTGAGCCTCTGCACTCGCCAGTGGCTGAGTGAGCTCTGGCTGGACGGCTGGGGTTGGACCTCAGGGCCAGGTACCCGGCAGCAGTTTACACGAGGTCAGCGGCCCGGGCAGCAGCCCCTGCCAGTGGAATCCGCACACAGAGCCCGAGAGCTGAAAGCTAAGTCTGATTGGCAAGCCTCCAGAACAGCATCTGAGACAGCCTCAGCACACACGTGTGGTCCAAGGTCTTGTTGGCCTTTATGTTAAAAGTCCCCCTGCTCTTCACGTACACCCTGTCTGCCCTCAATGGGTCCGATAAACCCAGTGCAGACTGGGCCCTGCGGTCTTTGCTGACCCACTGCCATCGTGGTGTTGGCTTCCTCTGTACCCGCCGTCACTCCACGGCTGTGGAAAACTGGGCAAATGCCTTTTTGCTGATTCTTAACTTTCCAGTCCCAGGGGTCTTACTACATACAGGCCCTGAGGACCCTTCAGTAAAATGAACCATTAAAGCCGCGAGACAAGCCCAGCCAACTGGTTTTCCCTGTCCCGTTGACTTGGAGTGGAGTGAAGGGCATGCACCTCTGGTTGTCACGTGGCCTCCAGCTGGCCCGTCGGGGGTCCCCTTCCGCTTGCCTGCATACAGATGTGGGAGGCAGAGGTGCCGCGCACGCCCCTGAGTGCGCTGTCACGGAGGGGAGGTGGTTGACTGCCCTCTCTTTTGCCTGCGCTCAGCTTGGCATTTGGCGTGTTTTAAGTTGTTGCCCTGCAGACATGAGCCCCAGGAGACTAGAGGCCTGTGGACAGGGACTCTGTCCTTGTAGCCTCCCACGGCACCCGCACGCCAGAATGCTGGGTGCTGGTGTGTTTCTCAGCACCCAGGGGAGTCCCTGCTTTCAGACCCTCACGCCTGTGTTTCTTCTTCATTTCAGGTGCCGAGCCCCTTTTCCACGACCTGGATAGTGACGACACCTCCCTCAGTAACCTGGGTGACTGTTTCCTAGCAACCTCGGAAGCCGGGCCCCTGCAGTCCAGAGTGGGGAACCCCATTGACCACCTGTACTCCATGCAGAATTCTTACTTCACCTCTTGAGCCTCCCCCAGAGCTCGGTGGCCGGGCTCCGTATGGAACACCACACGCGGGAGGGCCGCTGGCTGCAGGGCCGGAGGCCGGGAGGAGGCGGCGGGGGAGGGTGTCTTGTCGGAGATGCTGCTGAAGGGGGTGGCTGGCATTTCCAAAGACTGGATGCATAACAGATCTCATAGTTTAATGTTTTAATAAGAGTCTTAGCGTTAGGTTTGCAGGCGTGTTTGTCGCTGAAGACAGGGATGTTTAATGTAGACATTGTCATGCAGGCTAGATAGTAGAGACCCTAACCGCTTCCCACCTCCTCAGGAAGCGCTTGTCAAGAGGTGCACACGTCTCTTCATCCGTACAACCACGGCAGGCGGGCAGGCAGGTGTGTGAGTGACCTTTCACACGTCATCTGCAGAGTCTGTGCCCGTGATGGCAGACACGCCTGGGCAGCAGGGGTGTGGTTATTTTCAGTGTGAGCTCTATTTAAGGAAACGCTTGATGCACTTAAGTTATAAAATGAGAGGAATTACTTTTATAAACTTTATTTCTCGTTGGAAGAGACCTGTGCAGGCAGGGAGGGCTGCTCCTGCGGCCCCCGGCTCCGGGCTTTGTCGTCAGCACCACGGCGGGTGGGCAGCAGCTCAGCGTGGCCAGCAGGTCCTCTCCTGGGCTTGGCCCTCTCTGGGGCCTGGCACTGGCCCAGGACAGCACAGTTCATGACTATGCTCCTGGAGAGGGTGAATCCCAGTTCTGGTTTCTTCAAAATTGTGACATGTGGTTGTTGGTGGTGCCAGTTCTGCTCTTGACTGGAATCATCTGCAGGTGGGGTGAGGTCAATAGTCCGTACGTACCTTATGGGGGATGCAAGGCCTGGTCACCCCCCAGGACATATGGGCTGAGACGAGTATCTGAGGTTTGTTCAAACCACAACCAGACCAGTCCCGGGGCGAAGGCGGGCCCTGGGCCTGCAGAGCTGGGGCTCCTGTGCCCTGAGAGCCATGGTGTCCAGAGCCCCTTCTGGGAATCCAGGCTCAGACACCAGGCAGGACAGTGGGGGCACCAGAGTCCCCGGAAGGGGGCTGTGGCTGTGGGCACAGGAGGGCATCGTGGGGTTCCAGATCAGGGGCAAGCTACGGCGAAGAAGGGTTCCTATGGTTTTAAAGGTTGTTAAAAGGGAAGGAGACTGCACGGAGTGTATGTGGCCGGGAAAGGCCGAAATACTGTCTGTACTTCTCACATGTCGTGTGCTGCCCTGTCCTGGGCTCTGTTCCCGGGGCTCATGGGGTCCAGGTGGGAGCCAGGGCTCCCCTTAGGCTCACTTTGCTGACCTGACCCCGAGGACCCCGCTGCCATCACACACGGGGTGAGCTGCCCCCGTCCTCCGGGTGCTGCTAAGAGGGCTGCTTCTGTGCCGGGAAAGGAGCGAGGTGCCAGGGAAGGCGGTCCTCTGGGCCCTGCGAGGTCCGGTCCAGGCCCACCGCCTCCGGGGACGACGCCACCATCAGCCTTGGACCCAGCACTCGCCTGTCACTCGGACCCAGGCAGGAGGGAGCATGCCCTGGCGGCAGCGTCGTGGTCATGTGATATTTGTGCTCTGGTTAATAATTTATGCAACAAGCCTCAGCCAGCCCTGCGAGTGGACAGCAGGCGGCGCGGTGGGGCCGCCGGCCTCGGTGGGAAGGTCCCCGGACAAGGCAGCAGGTCCCCTGTGAGTGAGCCGAATAGAGGCCCCGTTCCACTCCTCCACCTTGCAAACCGAGATGAAATTAAAAACCTCTTACACACGAGCTGCTGTTTATTTGGGGATTGGGGGTGGGATAGGGGTGGGGACTAGGGGGCTGGTGTGTTGTCACAGGGACGTGGGGCAGGGCTGATGGCGAGCTTCCCATGAAGGGAAAGGGTGACTCCCCCAAAACAAGGAGAAAAGGGCCCCCCTCCTGGTGAGATGGAGCCAGCGACCCCACAGAAGGAGGGCCTGCCCGGCCTGCCCTCAGTCAGGGTCTCGGGAGCAGAGGCTGGAGGGGCAGGTGTTGCTCCCTCATTTCATAGATGAGAAGCCGGGGTCGGGGACGCTCGGCCAGTCTCAGCGTTCTCATTTGTCTGACTTCCGAGGGCAGGGGTGGGGCGTGGAGTGAACACCTGCCCAGGTGGGCACAGAGAAGGCTTTTCCCGCCCGCGGGGAGCTGGCTATGGATGCCGGTAAAGGACGCGCAGGAACTCCCTGTAGGCCCGCGTCCGCTGCTGGCGTAGGTGACGTGTGCTCCGGGCGCCAGGAGAGGGGCCACAGGGAGGGCCAGGCTTCCCCAGGCAGAGGGCCCAGGCTGGGCCTGCAGAGCGGGCGGGACTGAGGCTCGGAGAGGAGGGAGGGCCTCAAACAGCAGGACCAGCACGGCCAGAGCCCCGAGGACGGGAGGCCGGCCCCACCGGCCAGTGCAGGGACCGCTGGAGGGAGGGGAGCGCTGCCCAGGGGTGTGTCTGAGGCTTCGAGGGTCTGATGGTGAAGGTGCTGGTGAGGGGTGTCCCCACCGATTGCTGAGACAGGTATGGCCAGGGCTGCTGGTCATTCCCTTTGTTCTATTCTCATACGGTACCATCAGGTCTGTGGTCCCGGTTACTCAGAATAAAGCCTCTGTCCCTCAAAGGCCAGCCCAGCTGAGCGGCTCCTCCGACCACGCCCGCCCAATGGGGCGTCAGGAGTGTCACGGGCAGCATCTCGGGCAGCGTCACGGGCAGTGTCACAGGCAGCACCACGGGCAGTGTCATGGGTAGCACCACGGGCAGTGTCACAGGCAGCACCTCGGTCAGTGTCACGGGCAGCACCACGGGCAGTGTCATGGGCAGCACCTCAGGCAGTGTCACGGGCAGCACCTTGGTGCCACGTCCTCCTGGCTGGATTGCAGGTGCAAGGGCTGGAGGGGAGCAGCGATCTCAGACCAGGATGTGAACTTGTGAACGGAGAGCACACGTTGAGAGACAGGCAGGAGGAGCCCGGACTCCTGAGGATTCCTGGGAGGCACGCTACATTCCCTGCCTGACTGCCCAGGTCCTAACTCTCCTGGGAGAAATAAACCTGTGTTTCAAAGCTGCCCTGTTGTGTGTTTATGTGGCTCACAGCAGACTGGATCCTGACACAAAGCCGGCGGGTGAGGGAGAAATCTCAGGCCCATAGACCATGCAGGTAAATAGTGACGAGTGCAGACAGCATGCTCACGGGCGGGAGCCAATGGGGCAGGACGGACAGGGCGGGAGGGTCCCTGTGACTGAGGACGTGAGGATGGTGTGGGCCACAGGTGCTCCAGCTGGGCCTCATGCTCAGCGGAGGGGCCGTTGCAGCTGTGCGGGTGACACGTGGCCGTTCCTCTGGCTGTTCTCAGAGCCGCACCAGGAGCACACGGACCCTCCCCCGCTTCCTCAGTCAGGCCAGAATCTCTGTGGAATCTGGGGACAAGCTTTCCTTCCTTTTCTTCCTGATGGCCTTTGGCCTGTACCTGAGCCCTCACGCTCCGGCCTCCAGAACTCCATGACAAATAAAATAAAGCGACAGTGCAGTTCTCCAGCCACTGCACTCTGGGAACAGTCACCTTTCCCAGAGGACAGGGCTCCTGGTCAGAAGAGGATGTGGACACAGGGTGAGGATCGCCGGGGCCTCGACAGGTGGGTGCGGCTTCCCAGCAGCCACATGGAGGGGGTTGGCGTCCTGGGAGGTGATGTTTACACTGGGCCTGGGGAGGCGGAGCACAGGTGGGGAGCACAGTCCAGAAAGAAGAAATGTTAGAGGAGGAGCCGGGGTTGATGACGGCGTGGCCAGAACGTCGGGGCATAGGGAGCAGGGGTGCAGGGTGCGGAGTGACAACACAGGCTGTGAAATCAGATGGGGGCCAGGGGGTGGGGGACCAGGAGGGTCGCACAGGCCCCCAAAACTGTGCTTACCCATTGGGGGCAGCAATGGTTCATCCCACAAACCTGTCCCGAGCATCACCAGGAGGGAGGCAAATTTGGGGTGTAATCAAGATAAGGACACGCATGGCCGGTGTGGTTCAGTGGTTGAGTGTCGACCTATGAAGCAGGAGGTCCCTGTTCAATTCCCAGTCAGGGCACATGCCCTGGTTGTGGGCTTGGTCCCCAGTAGAGGGCATGTAGGAGGCAGCCGATCCATGATTCTCTCTCATCAATGATGTTTCTATCTCTCTTTCTCCCTCTCTGAAATCAATAAAAATATATTTTTTAAAAGAAAAGGACACAGCTTCCATCCTTACAAAGTTTAAGGTAAGTATAGATTCCAGCAAGTCAGGACGCGGATGCCCAGACCCCCAAGAGTCAGATGTTGCAAAAACTGGTGTTGCTCAGTATGTAGAGCATCAGGCCTGCGAACTGAAGGGTCCCAGGTTCGATTCCGGTCAGGGGTATGTTCCTTGGTTGTGGGCACATCCCCAGTAGGGGGGTGTACAGGAGGCAGCTGATCGATATTTCTCTCTCATTGGTGTTTCTAACTCTCTATCCCTCTCCCTTCCTCTCTGTAAAAAATCAATAAAACATATTTTTTTAAAAAGAGAGAGATGTTGAACCCCTGGGGAATGGCTTAGAATTGTCACTTTTCGCCTGGACATTGGCCAGTGGGAGAGGATGCAGCTTAGATGGAAATGATCAGTCCTCTGGGACGGGAAACCAGCGTGGCCTCAGGTGCCACCTCATTCCGCTGCTTCCTGCCGCCCCTCAGACTTCCCTCTCCCCCTTGGGAGCTGGGGCTAAGGCGTCGCTTGCCCGCAGGGACCAGGGGTGGAGGGGGGGGTGAGTGGCTGCCTGAGCCAGGTGGCACTCCCTGTGGTCACTTGATGCAGAGCAGTGGCCTGGCTGAGGGGAGGGGCAGGTAGGGCATTAACATGGGGCGTCGCTTGGTGGCAGAAGTCACAGGACGTGGTCACTAGTAGGGAGAAGAGGAGGGAGTGAGAGACTTTGGGGTTCAAGGAACTGGGCACACATGATACCTTTAGAACTGGGGAACCTGCCACGCCCAC